ATAGATAGATAGATAGATAGATAGATAGATAGATAGATAGATAGATAAACAAACAGCCCGTACAGAACATCCCAGACAGCCCCGGCGCCGCGGTGGATGCTGGGATACATGGGATCAGGTAAAGTCCTCCGCCTCGTGAAGGCACCAGTGATAACCGCATAGAAACCGGAAGTAGGGAGATTATACCTTCGCAATGAAAGCTTTATCTTTAAATCTTACTTTTAAATATTTGAAAATAACATATATATATTTATACATACTATATACATATATATATATACATGTATATAGTATATTTGAATAGCATTTATAAAACAGAGAGCAATTAGAAATATCTGGACTTTTGCAATTCATTTCCGGAATTATTAAAAACTAAGTCGGTCTCTATATATTATTTCTAATATTTCTAATCAAATGTGTAAATGAGAGCACATTCAGTCTCTTTTGGACCCAAAAGGACCAGACAGACTCTAAATATTCTGATTAATGACCATTAATGACAGCCACCGGTCAGTTTGTAACGCTTTAACCAGCGGACTCTCTGAATGTGGAGCCGGTCCATCTGACAGAGCTGTAGGTGGCACGCGGGCCTGTCACGCACGCGCTTTGGGCCGCTTTTGGGCTCCTTTCCTTTGGCGGAAGTGGCGCGGGTGCGTGCTGGCCAACTTGACGCGCCCGGGGACGCGCACAGAGCCGCGGCGGCGTCAGGTGAACGGTGTCCGGTCTCCAGCCTCTGCCCGCCGTCCATCCCTGACCACACGCAGACGCCCTGCACGCGGACATGCCCCGCGGCCTCTGACCGGCCCGGCCTCGCGGACAGAGCCGCTCGCGCGCGGACGCGGAGCCCGAGGCACGCCGCCGGAGTCTGGACTTAGCAGGTAGGCTATAAATAACTTCTCCTATTGTTTAAGGGGGCCGGGGAGCGGGGTCCGCATGCGCGCGCAGGGCAGGTGCACTCATTGGGGGCGCGTGCGTCGGGGGGGGGGCAGCCGGAGGAGGTTTTTCCGGCCGCCGTGGACGCGGTCAGTGCGCTAAAAGTGCGGACACCGCCGCGGCCTGTTGCGCCGCCCACAGTAAACAAAGCAGGCTGGAGCCGGGCGCGCGCGCGCCTGCACGCACGCACGCGCTCCGGTTTGTGGCTTTTAAATAACGAAATGAGCTGACTGTGCAGGAGGGACAATAGTTATGCGCGCACGGTGTCATTTTCTCTGGAAACCTGCAAATTAAGCAGCGTTTGTGGGGCTTTGCGGCTCTTTTTGGTTGTTTTGCGCCTTTATGATTTAAAAGAGTCATCAAGATCTAGTTGTTTTGGTTCTCTATTGGTTGGTGATATCTAAATTGTTGTCAATATCCTATTTTTTTTGTCTGATTTGAGGACTGACTGTTAAAGCAGCGTTTTCTCGATACTTTTTAATCCTTCTGCGTGATTATTTTAAACTTTTACTTGATTAATATTATTCTACAGTAGCTGCTCCACCCCCCTCTGGTGGATTTAAGGAGTTTCCAAGCTCAAATTTGGGAAGATTTCTTCTTGATTTCTGTCCATAAACACATTGGAGGCCGTTTGTGGAGAAACCTTCAGGAAACAGCCAGTGTGTGTAAATAAGATGTAAGAAAATGGGTTCTGATTTTTTCTTAAATGCTGAATCCGCTCCTCTGCTGGCACTTCACAGAAAAGATAAATTAAGATAAACATGAGTGTCCTGATCCGTGGATCTTCTGTCTCAGCTGAAGTGCGCAGAACGTGCAAAAAAAAAATTGCAAAACGTCTCTTCTGGCTCTTCTAATGGTTCTTCTATTACTTCTGGCTCTTCTAGCTCTTCTTATGACCTTTCTTTCTGCTCTTTTGGGTCTTCTGGATCCTCATGGATCTTCTGGTTCTTCTTCTGGCTCTTCTTCTTGCTCTCCGTCTCAGTCTGTTTCCGCTCTTCCTTCCAGCTGCTGACGGGGGCGTGGGGGGGGGGACCTCTGAGCGGGGGGGGGGGAGCCATGTTGTCGGCGGAGGAGATCCTGTGCAGCACGCAGCAGGTGATCGCGGGGCTGGAGGCGCTGCGCGGGGAGAACCGCAGCCTGCTGGACAGCCTGCAGGACGCCATGGCGGGCAGCGGCAGCGTGGAGCAGGAGAAGAGCGGCCTCATCCGCCAGTCGCTGGAGAGGATCGAGCTGGGGCTGAGCGAGGCCCAGGTGATGACCGCCCTGTCCGCCCACCTGGGATCGCTGGAGGCCGAGAAGCAGAAGCTCCGGGCTCAGGTCAGTTTTTCCCAACGGGGAAGGAGGGAAGTTTTCTAGAACAGTGTTTTTCAACCACTAGTGTGCCGCGAGTGATGGTCAGTTGTGCTGTAAAAAATTATCCTATTTCACCTAATTGGTCTAAAAAGATTTTTTGGTAAGGAATTAATTTTCTGCAAATAATATGCCATTTTTGAGTGTCTGTGCTGTTCTAGTGACTGGTGGAGTAATCATGTAATAATTCCTTATGACTACATTTTCTATATAATTTTGTATGTTGAAGTGGACATGTTAAGGGCAATTTGAAAGAAGAAATATAAGATATGATAAAAATACATTTTTGTGTTTATTTGATTCCTATTTAAGACACTTAAGATAAGATAAGAATAAAATAAGAATAACTATAGTGTTACTATAGGCGGCTACAGATTTGTTTGACATTTTTGGTTGGTGGTGTGCCTCGTGATTTTTTCAATGAAAAAATGTGCCTTGGCTCAAAAAAGGTTGAAAAACACTGCACTAGTGTGCCGCGAGTGATGGTCAGGTGTGCCGTAAAAAATTATCCTATTTCACCTAGTTGGTCTAAAAAGATTTTTTGGTAAGGAATTAATTTTCTGCAAAAAATATGCCATTTTTGAGTGTCTGTGTTGTTCTAGTGACTGGTGGCGTCATCATGTAATAATTCCTGACTAGATTTTGTATATAATTTTGTATGTTGAAGTGGACATGTTAAGGGCAATTTGAAAGAAGAAATATAAGATGTGATAAAAATACATTTTTGTGTTTATTATATAAGAATAACTATAGTGTCACTATAGGCGGCTACAGATTTGTTTAACATTTTTGGTTGGTGGTGTGCCTTGGGATTTTTTCTATGAAAAAATGTACTCAAAAAAGGTTGAAAAACACTGTTCTAGAAGACGTTTTAGTTAAGTTTAGTTTAGATCTGACTGATGGTGGAAATCTGAGTTAATAAACTGTAGGTGGAACTAAAGAATTAGGGGGAAACCAAAGGTGGTTCTGGTCCCTCCTGCTGGGGGCCATGGAGGTCACCTGGGGGGGTTCATGGTGGTTAGCAGCTAAAGGACCAAAAATAAGTGAAAAAAGCTGAAAAACAATGAAAAATAAGTGGATAAATTAGAAAAACAACCAAAAATAAGCGGAAGAAGTTGGAAAAGAATGCAAATAAGTGGAAAAAGCAGAAAAATAAGTAAAAATAAGTAAAAGTACAAATAGAAATAAAAAAATAAGTTAAAGAAGAAGCAAAGCTCTTCCTCTGGTTCTTCTGGATGGGGAAGTAACGAACAAGGCTGGTGTTTGAACCACAGAGAGGCTGTTTCAGTTTAGTTTCCACCAAATATAAGCTCAGTTTTTCCTGTTTTCATGATGAGAATTCAGCCGTTTTGGTGTTTCTTTTTGTTTTTTTTCCCTGGTTGTCCTCCGTCTTTCGTCTTCTTACGCTCACTTCCTGTTTTTCCTTCCTCCCCCCCAGGTGCGGCGGCTGTGCCAGGAGAACCAGTGGCTGCGGGACGAGCTGGCGGGCGCCCAGCAGCGGCTGCAGGAGCGCGAGCAGGAGGTGGTCACCCTGGAGGAGCAGAACCGCCACCTGCAGTTCATGTCGTCCATCCGGAAGTACGACCAGGACGAGCCGCCTCTGGTGAGGACCCGGGAAGCTCAGATTAACACGCACAGCCTCCAAAAAAGGGCTGTGCTCTGATTTAGATAATAAACAACTCTTAGATCTGCAGACACACACCATAAAGATCACTTTTCTTACTTATTTTGGATTTTATACACATTTTATTGTATTTGAAACCTGTTGTACCACCATGAGAACAGACTCATTCACTTTTTATAGTGTGTTAATAAGAAAACAACTACTGATATGTTTGTAATTTAGCCTCTAAGGAACATAACTGGCCCCTATTAGCTGACAAAGAACTCTAAATGTAACTTTAAAGCAGAAGTCTTAATGTTGGAATAAAAATTATGAATGATTAAGAAAAAAAAGGGGTTCATATTTTTAATGCAAATGTGCTTTTTCCCTCCCAGGATGACAAAGATCCTTCTTCTAACCGGGAGTCTCTGGATGACCTGTTTCCAGCAGAGGACGAGGAGCCGTCACCCAGTAAGGCTTCAGATGTCCAGATGTGGGCTTTAGTTACGGGTGGAAAACACAATAAATCACTAACAGTTTAAGGAAATTGGTTCTTTAGATATTTTAGATAAAAAGCAGTGGAGCTCTGTAAGCACACTGTAGGAGCTATTTCTTTTTTTTTGTGTTAATTCTTTAAATTTAGTTTTTGTTTTGTTTTGTTTTTTCGTGGATTTCTAATTATTCTTTATTTTTTCTGTTTGGAATAGATATGTAGGTTTGTCATGTGCCTCGTTTAGATATTTATTTAGTTTGGGATATGGGTATTTCACACATAAATATTCAGGATTTAGTCATTTCTGGATGCACAATGGTGTTTTTTTCACAGTCAGTTAGTCAGACAGTTAACAGGTGAAGCCATTAGAGTAAGTATGGAGCCAGAAAGGGAAGGAAGGAGAGACAAAAGCAAAATCCAGAGAATGTGGTTTTTTATATCCTGCCAAATTTGGAATAAGTGGATAAAGGAACAGCTTTTTGACTATTGGAAACTGCGTCAAACCAGAAACCAATGCACAAAAAGTGACTATTAGACTCAATCAATTTACTTTATTAATCAATCAGCTTGTTTTAATTATTTTTTTATTATTTTTATTATAATTATTATTCATTTTAAGAATAGTCTCTACAGTTAGATAGTCTCTACACATAGTGACCTTAAAAGGGTTCAAATCCGCCCAAAATATTCCCACCCTTTAAAGTGTGTTTCTGAGCTGGGGGGGCCTTCCTGGTGTTGTTTTTAACCTCCCCCCCCCCCCCCGGTGTGTGTTTCAGTGTCCCAGCCCCACAGCAGCGCGGCGGCCGCGGCCCAGCAGGGCGGCTACGAGATCCCCGCCCGCCTCCGGACGCTGCACAACCTGGTCATCCAGTACGCCTCGCAGGGCCGCTACGAGGTGGCCGTGCCGCTCTGCAAACAGGTG